CCAGCAAGTGGAGAGAGGCTTGGGAGCTGTCTTTGAATTCTGCCTACACAAGTAATAAGTAGGCTGAATATGGTATAAATATTACCACCACCACTAAACCAGTCTGCTCAACTCCCTGATGGGCTACTTTCTCCATCAAGAATCAAAGCAGAGGATCCATTAGCATTTTATTTATATTATTTACTCAGGGTCACATTGGAATGATAACAACCTCTTATTTTCATCTCACTTCATTTGAGCCTTAAAGATGCAGATACGAGAATTTAATATCCATGTGTCCGACTCATACTTGGGAAAACTAAGTCTTAGGGGATGAAATTATTTGCCTGAAGTCTCACAGCATCTCTATCTCCCTAGATCCAAGGTTCTTAATAAACTGCAGCATTTGATTTCTAAAATATTAAAGTACCATCATTTCTTATTTCAATTTTTCAGAGTTTCTAGGAAATTTTTTTTCAAACCTCTAGACTGCTATCACAGAAATCATAAAAAGCAATGGTCTTCCTACTGCCTGCAGCATGAGTAAGAATTCCATCAACACTAACAGGACCACGTAGTGAAAAGTATTTATGCAAGCTTTCCTGTAGGAACACATTTAAAAAGAATAGAAAACTTAGGATACTTTAAGTAAATTCAGTAAGTTGAAATTAATTTTAAAATTTGATTCACTGAGGAAACACTTCATTTGCTATTTTCATGTTCTTTGTGGTGGTTAACATAGATGTGGGTGTATTTCAGGACTTGAAACTTTCATCTTGCCTAAGATGTGACCATACTTTATGGTCACCAGAAAATGATTTAGGTGACAAAATTGAAACCACATCGAGGGTGATGTAGAATTAACTGAAAGTGCTCCAAGCTTCTGTTAATCACAGCCACCATAATCTCTATAGGACCAACCAGACTCCATAATAAATCTTTCTTTTCAGTTTCAAATGCAGCTGAAGTAGACAAATGGATGTCGTCTATAAAAGCAGACTGATGATTTAAAAATGTAAGTCACAGGGAATGCAGAACTCCATAGAATCATTAAAAGTAGAAAGGTAAAACAGACACAAGGGGACTCTCACTCCCCATTTTACAAATTAAAAAAAGTAAATCTGAGAAGTTTAGAGATTTGCCTGAGAGCACACAGCTTGGGATGTGACAGAGCTAACACATAAATATAGACTTTTGATTCCAGTCCAGTACTCTTAGTTTACTAAGAGCATCCTTTGATTAAAAAAAAATGTATTGCATGCAATTTTCCACAAATACTGTCATCACTGTAACCAAGAGAAGTGTTTGGATGTAAGTATTGAAAATAGATGGTTTGAAATCCCCCCAACCCACCCATTCCAAGAACTTAGACCCCTGTCTCTACTCTCATTTCCCCAAAACTTTCTCCTGTGTTTCTCTACTGCCCTCCATGGCACCTCACTCAAACCATTTGCACATGACTTTCTTTGCTCTGGATCCTTGTAACATGTACCAAGGTCAGTGCTGTTCCAGGGGTGTGACGATGGCAGTATTCCATTCCCTCAACAATAAATGTAATAACTCCTTGAACTTAGATCAATAATATACTTTTTTGGAAGGGGAGGAGTATTTTATTACTGACATCGTTGAGAACTTGTGGCATTTAGTGATAATAAAAAGCAGACTGACTTTTAGTTAGTTTTATTGTTGGTAATGAATTTTTTTATAAAAAAGATACTGTCTTCCCATTGCCCCTCTGTAACACTGGCTTAGATGAAAGGACAGGAGGTCTCTATGAGCTACTCACATCGATAAGGCTTCAGTTTCTTTAGTAAGTGTTCTTTATTAGAAGGGTGGGGATGGAGAGGCAAAGCACCATCATAATATTTGAACATACATGTACTTTTTAAGTAAACATCTAAAACTGTATATGAAATGTAAAATAGATCCCACAGTATTATAAGGAAAACAACATTGGTAAAGAGATTGGTTGTTGAGAAGCCAGAATGTTAGATACTTATCTGAGTTTGTATGAGATTTCAAATTTAGTGTGTTTTCATTAGCAAAGAACTTTTAGTTTTGCTTGTCACTGGGCTCATAGAGAAGTGGACACTTTAATCTAATTCAGGTAGAAGCAGTATGTATGGGGATTAAGACAGCCCGCACGCTGTGACCATGGGTGAATTAACCTGGCTAACTATAAGCTTCTCCATCTACAAAATGAGAATAAATAATAATACCTACCATACAGAGTCATCTTGGGGATTAAAACTAGCTAGTCATATAAAGGGTTTAGCCCTGTCCTGGTGCATATTAAACAGTCAGTGAATATTTACCATCACTGTTGTCATTATCCAGTGGCTAAAAGATATAATAAATTTTCATTTAAAAAAATGTTTTATTCTGACACAAAATTCTGCGTATTTTCTTTATTTCTCTCAAACTTGGAACATGAAAACACTCACACAGGTATTTAAGGCACCAACCTCAAGTTCACTGTGAAAAAGATACTTATTTAACAAACTTCTCCAAGGTCACTAGATGGCGATCTTCTCCTTTAAGAAACAACAACAACAACAACAACTAAGGATTCATTAACACTTCTTGCTTTGACAATTGAAACTTACTGCTGCAGATTTAAAAGCAAAGAACAGAGGTTAAAACCGCCTCTTTGAACACTAGAGTGTCTGAATCGTAGAATTTTTAGATTTGCAGGCTTCAAGTTAGGAGCAGCAAGGTCTGGGGAATCCTGGCTTCAAACATTTGCCCTTGGGTAATCTTGAACTTCACGTTTCAAGATCTCATTTTCCTCTTTTATGGTTAGGTTAGATCATCTTCAATGTTGCTTACAGATTTAAAATGCTATGATTTTAAATAATTCAATGTTTATTCTTCTACCAGTTTGTATTTTCTCAAATATTCCTTGTGCTCTTAATTATTTCATAAGCCAAGGGACATGATTTAAGGTCACAAAGTTCAATGTCACCTAAGTTAAAACTGATTTAGTAAAAAAATAAGATTGATTTTGAAAGATAAGGATGAATTCAGGGTTTTGAGATGTGTGTAAAATATTGGTCTAAAGGTTTCTTTTTTTAATAAGCAGGAGAAACATATTTGAATATCTGCATTTAAGATTAGTATATAAGACTTGAAAATAACCTGTCCATTTCAGAGTCATTTTAAAACTATTTCTGTATCTCCCATAAATAAAATTGAACCTGTGCCTAGATTCTTTAAAGATATAAATTTTTTTCTAACGTATTTTTAAATGCCAATTATTTTGAGTGTTTCTAAAGGGATGATAGCAGATTAAGTTGTTTATAGATAGAAGCAATAGAACAGTAACTATCAACAAGATTAGAGAACCCTTTCTCAAATATGAGTAGATGAAGCCAATCTGGATTATCTAGTGTGATTTAAAAAATCAGATGTGGCTTAAAATGTTTTTAATTTTAAATAATTGGATTAGTAGAACAGTAAATAAAGAAATCTTGAGAATAAAATATGTTTTAGGGTTGATTTATAAGCAAAGGTATATGCCTGCCTTTCCTTTACCAAGGTGTTTCAGACAAGGTAGAAAGATTTTTATAAAAATAAGCATCCAGTGGATCATATGATGATAGTTCTTTTTAAGGAAAATTACCATTTCTACAAAAACTGTCTGGTATCTTAGTTTGCATCTTTTTTCTTTAAAAAAAAAGATTTGTGGATCTTTACCTGAAGAAATGTTCCTCCCACACATCCAAACTCTTTAGCTGTGATTTGTGAACAATACTCCCTATGAGATATATATATATATATATATATATATATATATATATATATATATATAGTGTAGGAATTAGCAGATACTCTGGGTCCAGATGAGTATAAACATCCCTTTAGCACTGAGTGTGGTGCTGGGTGCAGAGGTGAGGGAGAAATCCAGCTGGCAGAAGCTATTTTTCTCTAAAACAGGAGTTGTTGGGGCGAACCCACAGTTCAGCACTGGTGGCCCCCACTTCACAACCAGATGGTGGTGTGATATAATTTGGGTGCTCAGCATACAAATTTTAATAGTAGCAGATGAAATAGAAACCAAACTCGAAGAAGTTTCCGATGGATGCATGGCCTTTTCCTTTTTGGTAAACATTTGGCTCATTATCCTACACATGTTCATCCAATTTACCCACCAACAATTTCAGTTTACCATTTCCACTAAAAGCTTATTGGTGAAAAGACCTGGTACCGCCAGTGCCGTGTTATTCTTATTACTTGGGTTCACAACCACAAGGCTTCATACTAAGGAACCAACACACACACGTACACTCTTAGCATCTAGGGCAGAAGAGAAGTAAAAGGTGAAAACAAGATGCATTCACGCACGTTATTGTCTAAAGGCAGTTTAATATTTATGAAATGTTTCTCTCTCTCTCTCTCACACACACACACGCACGCACACACCACACAAAGTCTTTAGGCTCCAGTTACAAGCGCTGCGTCATCTACCAGATCACATGGTAATTGTTGCTATTTCAAGGATCAAGTGGCATAAAGCTCCCCCCTCACCCCACCCCACCCCGGCCCTTTCCTTTGGTACCATATAGCTTGCAAGAGTGATTATTGTGTGATGGGGTGAGAGCAGGCTCACTGGTCCAACCCTCCCAACTAGAAACCAGGCTCTCGGTGGGGTGGCGCGCACGCTGTGTTCTCACGAAGTGATTGGGGAAGGGGGACGGGGGAGGGGGTCTCAGGGGAAGAAGGGCAGCTCTAATTGGTTTCTCAATGAAAGCTAATCACCTATTCCCCGGAGAGGCTGGGGATTAGCACTCTGCCTCTCCTCTCCAGCGCTTTTAGACTTCTCATCCTCCCCTCGATGCTTTTAGTCCATTCAGCAGAAGTGGATCGAAGAACGCGGCTCCCCGCGCCGCGTTAGGGGCAGCACCGCTGCGCTCCGGGACTTAGCGCCCATTCACTCGCTCGGTCCGCGCTCGCCTCGCCCGGCTGTTGTCCCAGCCGCCGTCGCCCGAGAAAAAGTTTCGCGGAGGGGCTCAGGCAAAAACATGAGCGAGCTGGAGGAAGACTTTGCCAAGATTCTCATGCTCAAAGAGGAGCGGATCAAAGAGCTGGAGAAGCGGCTGTCAGAGAAGGAGGAAGAGATCCAGGAACTGAAGAGGAAACTCCATAAATGCCAGTCAGTGCTGCCCGTGCCCTCGACCCACATCGGCCCCCGGACCACCCGCGCGCAGGGCATCTCGGCCGAGCCGCAGACCTACAGGTCCTTCCACGACCTCCGACAGGCATTCCGGAAGTTCACCAAATCCGAAAGGTAGGCGCCGCCGGGGCGCGGGTGCGGCGGGCCGGAGCGGGGCCGCCACTCGGGGCGGACGGGCGGGCCGGGCGGTGGCTCGGCGACTGGGGGCTCCGGGCCGCGGCGGCGGGGGCTGCTCGGTGCCCGGCGCCCCTGGCTCTCCTCAGCGCGCCGAGTGGGGGTGGCCCTGACGGGCCGGGAATGGGGAGTGTTTATTTTTATTTCCGTCCATCACGTGCTGCGCTGGTCTCCGCCGGGCTGGGAAAGGCTAGCTCCTCGGGGGGAAACGCGCCCCTGTGGCGTGGGGGTGGGGAGAAAGAGCGTGGAAAGTTTGGCCGCGCCCGCTAACTTGGCCGCTGCGCACCCCGCCGAAGTCGCGCGGTCTTCCCTTCGCGCACCCCTGGGGAGACGACCTCCCGGGACAGGACCCGGCCCGTCCCGGGGCCTGGAGAGCTTCCTGGAGGTGACCCCCAGACCCAGGCCACAGGGCATGCTCACTGCGCCGCTGGAGCCTCCCGGGAGCGGCAACGGGAGGGACAGGGCGACCGCGTTGGGTTTAGGAACTGAACTTGCCCAGAGCCCGAGCCCGGCTGGGAAGGCGCGGAGGGGGTGAGGGGAGGGAGGCGGGACTGGGGTGCGTCTCCACTGCAGGGATCAGCCTCCGAGGGTCACTCTCCAGGCAGCAAGTGATGTCAGCAGGAAATTGTAAAGAAACACCACTTCTTGGATGTCGGTTTGCTCAGTTTGTGTCCCTTCCAGAAGTGTCCACGTCTTGGGCTGCCTAGGGCTTGGAGGTGGCTGGGTGACCTTGCACCTGAAGCAGGTTTGGGGCTACTGGTCAGCCCTGTCCTAGAGTCGATACTACCGCCCCCTCTTGTTTGTCTTCGGAGCCTGTCCCTGGAAAAGTTGGGATGAAGAGGGAGGGGAGCTGTTTCTCTGGGCGCCTCCGGGCTCCTTCCTTCCCTCTTCCCGCCACGCTGGGAGCTAAGTCCAGCCACTTTAAAGTTGTGTGTCGCTCTTTCGTGGTGCGCAGAGGAGGCCCGGCGATTTTGGCCATAAGTAGGAAGCATTTGCTCTCCGCTCGCTGCCTTCACCGGAGAAGGCTGATCGATTGGCTGCAGCATTAAAGCGCCTCTGGACATTAGGGAGAGGAAGTGCAGACTCCAGAGCCCATTACTGGCTTTTAGTCTCTGGAAGTGCACGGCCGAAAGTGCATCTCGCAGGATATTGAGTATTCCATTAGGCGTGCCTTCATGCCCGCCTACCTCTTACCCCTTCCTTCTTGTTAGATCACTTGGTTGTCTGAGTTTGGGGCCCTCAGGGGACCCCTAAATTAATCCCTCCCCCTAAGCTGACTTTGAGGCCAGTGCTTCCTAAAGAGCTCGTCCTCTTGTCCGTCTCCAGACAGGCCACTTGCAGGACTATCGGTGCCCCCCCCGCACCCCCCCCCCCCCGCTCTTCCCCTCCTCTCTTTCCTTGTCCGTTTCAATTGTGTACTGATTCCAGTGTATGTGGGATGGGGGAGGGGATCAATGAAGACTGTGCAGGAGTTGAGAGCTATCAGAAGAGGACTAGGAGCTGGGAGTAGGTTGGGTCAGGCAGAAAGGATTTCACCTTGGGAACTGCAGGCCCACTCTGAACCAGCGTCTCAAGGGACCGCCTTCAGGTTTCCAGGCTTACAAAATGACACTGTCCACATGGCACCTTTTGGCCCACGCTGCCTTGGAAGTTCCTATCAAATGGAACAATGGCATTCTTCCTTCTCTCCGGCCAAGACTGCAATCAGAGCTAATATTTGGCCTTGCCATTGGTTGGGAAGCTGCTGTGTCTTGCCTCAGCTGAGCGGCGCATTCCTCGGCCGCTGCCCTGCCCCGCGCTCAGCAGCTGGAATCAATCTGCCCACCTCCTTAAGAAGCCACTTCAACAGCGGTCACCCAGCAGCTGTTCGCCTCTTAGGGCTGGCCGGCTGGGGCTCTATCACATTTTTGAAATTTCAGATCTCTGTGTCTGGACTGTGCCCCTCCAAAAAAAGTGTAGCCAGCACCGCCTCGCCGCAGCAAAAAGGAAATTTCACCGGGGTCTGGAGAGGAAAGGAGAAATTTCCCTGCCAAGGTCCCCTCTCCTTCAGGAGCTAGCTCTCAAAGAGGCACTTTTATTTTCCTTGATAAGAAATCTCCCGGGATGAGAGACGTTTTTGTGTGTACTTATAGGAAATGGCTGATCTTTCAAACGTACACATCATCTTCCTTATTCTATCCCTCCCCCCTACTCCCAGCGCTTTCTGGTTAGGGGTAGGAACATTCATCAAAAGAGTGGGTCATGCGCAGTAGGGATTGGTAGGGCGCATATTTGTGTCCGCAGAAACTAGCTGAAGTGCTTTTCTACTTCCTCTGTGCGCGGATTTACCCTGGGACTGAGTGTAAACTTTTTCCCACTCAGCATGTAGTTTTACACTTTCAAATGGAAGCTTGGCGTGTGTTTTCAGGAAGCTGACTCATTTGAGTTTAAAGAATTTTGACAGGTAGAACATGGGAATAGTAACCTCTGGAATTAGGTACTTATCCTAGCATTTAAAGAGCCAGTACTGACTTACTGGTGAGGCACCTTATTTTGGCCAAGAAAAGAAATCATGAAAAAAGTATTTCCAGAATACAGCATTTAACAGCCAACACAGTGCTTTCAAAATAAAAGTGCGTTTGCTAATTTTCAGATATTTGGATTTGGGAAATAGACATCCCATCAGCTCATGCATCCTTTGTTAAAAGTTGTGCCATCCTGATGCACTTACTGGGGCTGAAAGAGACTGCTTTATCACAAAGCTAATGTTCATTTGCAGTGGCTATAGGATTTAGTGAGAGCTACTCATGCTGTGGGTTTGTTTGAAACTTTACTAGGGCACCATCAGTTTGTATACTAACAAGAAAAGAAATATATTTTGAAAGTATAGGAATTCTGTTTGGTGGGCAGAATGACAAAAGCACTTTTGCCTATCACCACTGTTTTGGAAAATGATTGCAATCTGAAATATTTACATAATCGCTGGTAAAAATATCTTGAGCATTTATTGCAGTGGAAGGAAATGGGAGAATTCAATGACTGTTGTAATCAAGTCAGTCCAATTAGCCAGATTTCCATGCGTCCGCAGAGGGTATAATGCACAAACTCCATTAAGAATGATCTAAGTATCTGAGGAATGCTTTAGATGAAAATTATACTAGAGAAAGGGAAGATCTGAGCTCTCAGCGTAAGTATCAAGTGTACAGTGTGATGATCATGTTTAAAAAGAAAACATCCGACTTATTACAGTCCTCATTTGCAGACCCTTTAGAAATGCCCAGTAGAGATCAAGTGATAATCGTTGAAAACTGTAGGCTGTTTTGGATGATGATGATGATATTTTACGTTCATATATAACTTTCTACCAAATAACTGAGTCTTTCACATAGTTTTCTATGAGCTTCAATTCCCTGTATGAATTGAAGAATTCATCAAGAATTACCCAATATCCTGATTCTTCCCTCTGTTTTTACTCACACCTAAATTCCTTATGTTGACAACCCAGTTAGCTCAGAGGACTGCATACAATTGTTGTTGGGTTTTTTTTAGTTGTTGTTTTTAAATTAGCTTAAGCAAAAGCTGAAATCAATATTACTCTGGTACAGGGATAATGTATTATATTGCAAAGCTATTGAGCTATTCCTATCACAGATCCCTTGATTCTTGGTAACGTAAATTCATCCTTTGGAACTTGTACCTTCTTCCATTGGGACATGGGCACTTTGGAATGGATGCCCCAGAAAACTCTTTGCCTTTTGCGTCTCTGATTCATTTCAGCTGATTTAACCTTCAGACTAAATCAAGGGATCTGGCCTAATTTTGATATAAGTAGCTTCAATGAAATGAGTGGGTACACCCACTGAATTCTGGGCCCACCTTATTAATTGTTCCAATAGAAAATACACAATGCTTTAAAATAGCATAGGTAAGAATATTAGAGGTAGCTAAGCCTACTGATTTTAACACAGTGCTAAGCTCTTTACTTTCAGCAGCTCATTGTTTTTTCCCCAGTGATCCTAAATCACATATGTACTTTCCATGTGAGAAATCTGAGGCTCAAAGAAGTCACTTACCTAAGATCTCACAGCTAGGAAATGCCAGATGTGTTTCAAACCCCAATTTTGCAATTTTTAGAGCCCAGTTCTCAGCTGCTATACTCTGTAGCCTTGGAATCAGGATAGTTCCATCTTGTTAACTAGTGAATCCTTCTGAATAGGAAGAAAAGAACATGCCCTAAATTAGAATACATTGTTGTTTTGGTTGTTGCTGTTTTTTTTTCTGCCTTATAGCCAGCACAAAACTGACCTTATGAAAAAGTGACCATTGAGCTTAAGCAAATATGCCTCGATAGGCATATCCAGCACATACACCTCCAGTGTGCTGAGCTGGCTAGAATTTCCTCAGGTCCTTCTCTTGGAATTGGCATTTCCCAGTCGTTCCTCCTTTACGTCATAGGTGGAACTGATGAAAGTGCAGGTAAGGAAGGATGTGAAAAGGATCTCTGTGGCTGCCTTTGTACATCATCCACTATATCCTTTGCCTTTTGCCTTATAGATTCCTCCTGCTAATCCCATCATCCCTACCAATCCTTCTGTCCAAAGGAATTTATTACTACCTGACCACATACCAATCTGTTGACCAGTTATCCTTTCTGGATTAATACAGTGATGTTTTAACAGGAGCTTCTGGGAGAGGACATTCATCTAGTTTACTTTGATGAGTAGTATTTATGATGAGAGTTGAAAGGGGGAAGAGCCGCGGAGAAGACCGGAGGGTGCTTAGGCAGGCTTGATCCTTGTGTCTTGCCAAGAGTAGTTTGAAGAGGACAGGTTCTGTGAATAAGCACCTTACTCGTACTTTTAGTTAAAGCAATACAGAAGGCAGACAGTACCCTGGTTTTAGTGATGAGAAAACTGAGCAAATCACTACTGAAGTGCCTTTTAAAGGATCTCAGAAATGGGACAAGAAGAACGATGTATTTTTTTCAATTTTGCATGAGTACCAGAGTTGGTGAATTGATAGCTCTGAGTTATCATCGTTTCTACTTATATTTTAAGACATATCCACTTGGCTTTGGGGTTGATTTGGGTTCTGGGATGATGTTCATTTTCCAGGTGTATTTGTAACACAGCAAGGGTTCTTCTTCTATCTGGATCGTTGATACGTGTATAGGTTGCAAGTTTCAATGTAATTGTGTGTTCATAGGAGATTTGACTGACCCTCATGAAAATATTTCTGAAAGACCTGAATAAACAAAAGATGTCATAGGTTTTTATCCTTTACTGACTGCTCATTTCCCAGTGTCCTCTCCCCGCTCTGTGTAGGAGGTGCTGAGTGCATTAAGACCCTTTCTTTTGATAGGATTTTCAGGTGATTTCTTAGCTGCTCAGAGTAGGAATAATTATTTTCATTTGCCACTGAGAATTTGCTTATCAAGAGTTCAGGACCCTATGTTATCTTGAATTCTTGTAGCTCTTGGAAGTTACTGTGAGCTCTGAGATAAACCAGGG